TATTCGTACACTCTATATTTATTGACTGTGTTTTATCGCTATAGTTTTTTTTTGCAACAAAACAAAAAGAAGCAAAAAATGTACTAATTCTATAAATATACTAATTTCCAAGTGTTCACGAATTTTATTCGGCTACTGTTTAATTGTTGATTATTATTAATTGTGTTTATTATGGAACGTCAATCACGTAATTTAACCCGAGATGAATGTGCCCAAGCAGTGATACTGTCGGAAGAAGGTTGAAGTTACCGAAGAATTGGTCATCGGTTTAATGTGTCCCACACATCCGTCTCACGGGTGTTGAAAAGATTCCTCGAAACAGGGGATCATACTCGCAGATCAGGACAAGGACGAAACCGGGTAACTACCCCTATTCAAGATCGATTTTTAAGAATTTCTGCTCTTCGACAACGTTTTGTAACACAACGAAGTCTACAAATTCAGCTTCGAGACGTGCATACTATACAAATTGGTACTGAAACTGTTCGCCAACGACTTAGGGAATACAACTTAACACCTAGGATTGCCGCCCGAGGTCCTCTATTAACTGCAGACTACATTTTGCCAGAGAACACGTTAATTGGTTAGAGGCTGACTGGGAACGAGTGCTATTTACTGATGAATCCCGATTTTGTTTGTACAATAACGACAGACGTGTTCGTGTGTTGCGACGACCCAACGAACAATATGCTCAGTGTAACTTCTCACACACCACTTTTTTTGGTGGAGGATGCGTTATGGTGTGGGTTGGTATTTCTTTGACCGCACGTACGGACCTAGTGGTCATACAAAATGGAACTGTTACAGCGGAAAGGTACATATTGGAGATCCTGGAGCAACATGTAGTACCATTCGCTCCTTATAGCGGTGAACATAATTTCTTACTAATGCAAGATAATGCCAGACTTCACGCTGCACAGATCGTCAGAAATTATCTAGAAGAGGTAGAAATTAACACTATGGAATGGCCAGCATATAGTCCGGAATTAAATCCGATTGAAAATATCTGGGATATACTTGGTATGCCAAGGTCGGAACTCAAATTGATGATGCAGATACGGCAATAGGAAAACACGGTTTAGAAGGTCGAAATGAGAGAGGCCAGACACTATTAAATTTCTTCATAACCATCAGTTATATTTGATGAATAGCTTTTTCCAAAAGAAGCCACATAGACGATGGACATTGGTAAGCCCAAATGGAAACGTAAAAAATGAAATAGATTTCTTCATAACAACACATAAAAGATATGCCAAAGATGTCACCGTGTTAAATCAGTTTGGCATTGGTAGCGATCATCGAGCAGTGAGAGCTACAATACAGTTAAACTTAAAAAATGAAAGAACAGGATTAATAAAGAGAAGAGAATTGAAAAAATGCAGTACACCAGAGAACACTAAAGAATATGTGAAAGCTATAAATCGGGCTTAAACCACCCTCTTTCGACAGATGTTGAAACCGTAAATAATGCAATCACAGTAGCGTTAATGACTGCACAAAAACAGTACTGTGCCAGACCAGCCGAAAAAGAAGAGAAACTGAGCGAAAACACCAGAAAGCTCATTAAATAAAGAAAAATCAAGAGATCAAAGCAGAAAGGCGACTCAGCTGAACTTAGAAATCTGAACAGAGATATCTCAAAAGCAATTCGTAAAGATCAGAGGAAGTATAATACGTAGAAAATACAAAATGTGATTGAGCAAAATGGAAATATGAAAATACTCAGAAGAAAGCTTTGTCATGGTAAAAAGGAAATTGTTAAACTAAAAGACAAGGAAGGTAATATAACAATAAATAGAGAGAGAATAGTAGAGATAGCAAAAAGCTTCTATGAGGAATTATAACAAAAGCTAGTTAACAGAAGAAGACAAAACACAAATTAGAGAACGCAGAGTAATGAACCAAGGATCCGAACTTCTGCCTACCATAACGATAGAAGAAGTGAAACGAACTCTAAAGTAAATTAAAAACAACAATGCTCCGGGAGATGACCAAATAGTAATAGAAGCTGTTAAAGTAGGAGGCAAGAAACTGCTGGAAGTAGTAACTGAACTATTCAACCTATGTCTAAATCAAGGTATTGTCCCTACAAAATGGAACAATGCAATTACTATCCTTATACACAAAAAATGAGATATATCAGACCTAGAGAATTATAAACCGATAAGTCTGTTGTCACATCTCTACAAATGGTTTACCAAGATCATCACAAAACGTTTAGAACGAAAATTAGATTTCTATCAGTCTAAGGAGCAAGCTGGGTTTAAGAAAGGTTATGGAACAAATGACCACCTACAAGCACTTAAAATACTAATTGAAAAATGTGTTGAATATAATAAACCACTCACGTTGATTTTCATAGACTTCAAGAAAGCTTTTGATACCGTGGAATTACCGGCAGTATTAGGAGCATTAGAACAAAGCCGAGTAAACTATAGATATACAAATTTGATAAAACATATATACAACAACGCAACAGCATCTGTTAAACTCCATGACTTTACCGATAAATATAGAATTGAGCGAGGAATTAGACAGGGCGACCCCATCTCTCCCCCAACTATTCACTGCAGCTCTGGAATATGCCTTTAAAAAACTAGACTGGGCTAAAAGGGGAATAAATATTGATAGTGAATACTTAAGCCACTTGCGCTTTGCAGATGATATTGTCATTATAACCGAGAGTTTAAATGAAGCTCACAAAATGATGGAAGAACTAAAACAGGCAATTGAACAAATAGGCCTGAACATAAACTTTGGAAAAACAAAATACATGACCAATTTAGTTCCAAGTGATGTTATGAGGGTAGATGGGAACGAAGTACATCAGGTCTTTAGCTATATCTATTTAGGGCATGAAATTAGAATAGGAAAAGACAATCAAACTTGTGAGATCCAGCGTCGCATAGGCTTAGGATGGGCAGCATTTGGCAAGATGCGAGATATTCTAAAAGGAACGCTACCGATTTGCTTGAAGAAAAAGGTTTACAACCAATGCATACTGCCAGTAATAAACATATGGTTCCGAAACAATAACTTTAACCAAACATTCTGCAAATAAATTGAGAGTAACCCAAAGAAAAATAGAAAGAGCAATGTTGGGAATAACTAGAAGAGATATGGTACCAAATAGAATAGTAAGAGAGAGAACTAAAGTGACAGATGTCATAGAAAAAATTGCACAAGGCCAAATGGAGATGGGCTGGACATATAGCACGTTTAAATGATAATAGGTGGACCAAAAGACTCATAGAATGGAGACTTAGAGAAGACAAAAGACACCGAGGCAGACCACCAAAAAGATGGATGGACGACTTGAGAAAAACAGTCGGAAATGGAATACAGAAGGCGCAACATAGAGAACAGTGGAAGAACATGGAGGAGACCTATATCCAACAGTGGATGCAAGAGGTTGAGGAATTATGACTTGGTAGGCGATTAAGAACGACAGAGGCTGATACAGATTTGGAGAGAAATAGACCAAAATGAAATACGGCAATTAATTTTAAGTATGGGCCAACGATGTGAGGCTGTTATACATAGTAAAGGTGGAAACACTCGTTATTAAGACTTTTTTCATATTTTAGTTTACTTTTCTTATCATTATTTTTTTAAGAATTTTCCGTTTTATTTTTTTTCTCCTGTAATTCAACATTTTCTGATGATTAGACAAATTGTAATAATTACTAATAAAATGTGGAATAAATCTGGTGAAGTTTTTATTTTTTATTCTTTACCTGTTTACAAATAAAATTGATTTATTGAAGTGATGCGTTAATTTCTTGGAGAAGTGTATATTTCAAATAAAAATTGAAGCTACTAAAGAAGAAGTGCTAAATAGAATAGACAAGGAACGAGAACTTTTCAACACAGTGAGTGTTGAAGTTAGTAAAACATCATACCTAGGCCACATACTAAGAAATAATAGAGAAAGAGAAAAATCGAGAAGAAGAGGGGACCAGGAAGAAAATGACTATTATGGCTAACAAATATCCGACAATGGACACAGTTACATTTTGAATAGCTAATAAGAACAGAGAAGAGTTGCAATTATAATAGCCAATATCCATTGAAATATTGAGGAGAGGACACTTTAACAGGAAGAAGAAGTATAATATCTTCTAGATTAAACATATATGTAGTTTGTCTGTAAAAATCTTTCATTTTTACAGTATGGAAAGGCCAAACAACCCTTTTGAAATCGTATATACTAAAACGCTAAGCCCTTTTCTTGTCCACCACTTTACTCAAAAACCATATTAAATAATTAAAATATTTTTTCGGAATATTAGTATTACGTATGAGATTGTCAAGATATACTTTTGGTACAAAAATTCACTTCCGGTTTGAGATGACCGGAAGTTAAAATTTACTTTAAGTTTTAGACCCCACAATGTATATATGGATCGGGAGGTCTCGTCGAGACGAATCTAAATATGTACTTCCGGTTGCTATCCGACACCGGAAGTGACCCGAAACGCGCATAAAACGTCAAGATAGAGCAAATCTGACACCGGATTCGTGATCAACATGTAAAATTAACTGCTAAATGATATCCATGTCGACATTTGATGAACTAAAATTGCATTCCGGTTTTGAGGTCGACTTCCGGTTTCGTTTTTATTAAAAAGTAAAAAAGTAAAAGTTTTCAGAAAAATGGAGACATTTTGACAAAAATTATTGTTTTCGACGAAATATTTCGTGATATTTAATATACTTTTTACTTGCATTATTATTGATGAATGTTATGTATATTCCTTGCTTATATTGTTTGTATTGATCTCTTAATTTTTCTCGCAAAATAAAAATTTCATTTAAAAAACTCGATGTCGAGTTGGTCCGCTAGTGTACAATTAAGAGATTGAGTTTAACTAATAATATGTACGTTTAGTTTGCAGGTAGAATTTTTTGTGTTCATTTACGATTTGCTTATAGTTTAAAATTTGTGTTGTAATTATTATCGCACTGGTAATAATTTGTACAAATCATTAATTTAATAGGATATGTTGGATGAAATTAACTACTTGGTAAAGCACTATGACGAAGAAATCGAGAGAAGAGAGATAGAAATAATTGATATGCAAAGAAAACTCGAAAAACTTTGTGTGCTGCATACAGAAGTTTTGTGTGAATTTGAGAAACGACAAAAAGAAATGGTAGAATGGAAGCAGTATAAGAAAGAAAGGGAGATACGGCGGAAACGTGCCAAGTTGGTGAAATGGGCTTCAGTTGTTATACAGGTATTAGTTCACTTTTGTATCTTCTTCTTAAGGTGCCTTCTCCATTACGGAAGTTTGAACTACAGCAAATTGCTCTCTATCTTAAGTTATTCTTAGTATCGAATGTGTGTAAATGTCTGTACAGTCTCTTACATTCTTCATCCAGAAGCATTTTCTTCTTCCTGGACCTCTTCTTCATTCCACTTTTCCTTCCATTATAAGTCGTAGGAAGTTCTATTTTTACATGCATATATGCCGGTTTAGATCGTCCTTCTCCGTTGTCCGACACCTAACTTCCATCCTCTTCTATCGTGGCAATCTTCCGTTGATAGATTCCGTTCGCTCATTGACTTTTTTATGTTTTGCTGCCACTCTAGTTTGGGTCCTCCTCGCTTTCTATTCCCTATTGGGGTCCAGTTCAGTATTTTTTTGGGCCATCTAGTATTTTGCATTCGCTCTACGTGTCCGTACCAGGTAAGTACATTCATTGTTTTATATGGTCATTCCTCATTCTTTCTCTTCGTGAGACTCGCATAGATCTTCTTATCGCGTCCATTTCGACTGCCTCTACCTTCTTTTTTTGTCTTTCTGGAATTCTCCATGTTTCCGCTCTATACAATAGGCTGCTCTTAACCATTGTCTCGTATATATTAAATTTTCTCCTTTTTGTTATCTCCTTGCTCCACAAGATGCCATTCAGACATCCTATTGTCTTTTTAGCTGTAACTATTCGTTTTTCTATCTCTTTCACATCTGTTCCGGTATTGTCGAATTTGATACCTAAATATTCATATTCTTGACATTTAGTTCAATTTTTTCTGTTCTATTTTTATCCCCTGTAAATATGTCGTCCTGTATAACACGTTTTTCTGTTTTTTACAATATTTAGGAGCTCTCTATCAGTACCCATTCTTCTTAGCACCTCGTTGTTGGTCACGTGCTCTGTACAAGAGATCTTCAGCATCCTTCGAAAAACCCACATCTCAAACCTTTGTATAACTTATTAAAACGCTGGTATATATTGCTTAAATGGTATTTCACTTTGGGTTCGGGTTGTTTCGCTTACTATTTTGGATATGCATAGTTTGTTCTGTATCCATAGTTTATACATTGTTCTGTATGCATAGTTTAAATCCTTGTTTGCTTCTAATAAGTATATTAAGTATACAATATTATCCAAAAGGATTAGTTAAATCAAAAACACATTTTCGATCCTGTTAGACTGTCATCAGGAAGTTCTAAAAAGCAAGTAAGTGGTCATAAAAAATAAGTGGTTATTACTTTCTGGTGAAGCTTTCTAAAGCTCTGGAGAGATTAGGAAATGCCGAATGGTCTTAATCTCGATAAAGGAAAAATCCGAATCTGCACCTCCACGTAGTAGAAGGTGGGCAACATCAATCTTGATGGCTAACACAGGTAGGGACCGAGTGATTGCCGGTATAAGCAATCCCCTGCTTACCGATCAACGGCTTCTGGCGGATGAGTTGGTAGGACAATCTTTTGTCCTGAAGCTTAGAAATCGACGCCAAAGGCGGAAGAACCAATAAATTAGTCAACGGCAGAAGACTGCAGAAGGCAAGGGGTAACCACTGCATTAAAGGTTCAACAGAACATCCCTATTCATTTACCATGGCAAATACGCAAAAAGTCAAACCGTTACTGATCATGGAATCCAGAAACCAAGATGCGGCAGTGAAGGAAAATATGTAAAAGACGAGGTCTTCCAGGTCGATAGCAAGCAAAATCCTCGTTTAGATAATAAAATTCCACGTCTAAGAATACACAAATGTAGACCAATAAGACTTGCAACATGAATTGTAAGAAGCTTGTACCAGCCAGCAAAATTAGACTATACTTCTATTACATGTCAAATGTTTATATACAGCAAACGATGTACCATACACCTATAAACCTAATTCTTTTTCTCTTTCTGCTCTCTCTTACCTATAGCGTTATATACGTAATGATTGTGGCAAGAATTGGACGCCTGCTAGCAGGAGGATTTACGCGAGACGCACGTTCAGGATCACATACACCATCTGGAGGATGGGTAGCTCGCGAAGGAAACGATTTGCCAATCATCTCTCTATCTATATCTATTCAGCGATGTACTATCGGGATGTCAACGTTGATCGAGGAGCGCACTGTTGTGCCTACACAAATACAACGTATCGATGTCAGCACAGACACAATCTCTCTGTGTGATCACATCACGCATACACAATCACACTATATGAACACAGCTGCAGTGTAGAGAAAAATCAATAAATATTAGTGCAATCATTATATTGAATAAAAATGCCATAGTTCAAAATGTACAGTGTGCGACACAAGCAGCAGAAATCTCTGATATGAGCGTTCTAAGAGTACACCAACGATTATATTTATTGCCACTTTTTACACATTATAACACACACACAACACATCTCATCTACACCATACTCTCAATACAGGCGTGCATATCACACACAACAAACACGTGCTGAGCAACGTTAGGACGGGAAATAATGTTGGAACAACTGACGATATTTAGGAGCGATCACTCATATATATATGACAATATACTACACCGATATACGAGATACCACATTACAGCGGATCGAGATACTCATCATAGAAGGAGTATTGTTGCATGTAGGGAATTATGCTTGATCTCGCTAAAAAACATACACACACACTGCGAATTACATACTCAATCCATCTACTCTCTATCTCTCTCTCTTTCCATCACATAGCCATTGGTAATTGACATGGTGGGAACTATAGATCAATTAAATACACACTGAGAGATGGGAGGAGGCGTGGATCTATGATGCTCTCCTTTGATAATACAGTAATTTATCTCTCTTAGGACAATAGAATATCCAGATGCACATGGGATGTTAGATGTACTCTGAATTGTGATTTGTGCGTGGGAAGTGGGTGGGAGGTGGGGAGAGTGAGGGGGGGGGTCTTGTCGTAATGCGAAGTGTATCTTAGAGATTTATGAGTATGATAATGATGTGGTAGGTATCTATCTATCTCTCTCTCTCAAAATGGATATATTATCAAATCGTGTGATCTTCTTTATATAGCAATAAATTTAAATAATAGATTGTCTATATTTGTGAATGGTTTTTATTTTGTATTGGGGGGGTTTTGTTTATTTAGTATGAAGATAGTGTATTTAATGAGAGTTAGTGTTCTAAGCCACATGATAGGAGACCAAAATTCTCTGATATATATATCTCTATACATGAGAGAGCGAGAAGTTTAGGATGGAGGAGGGGGGTAGAGGGAGGGGGGAGCTCGGGTAGTGGGAAATTGCATATTCTCTTTTAAAGATATCGTTTGGGGTGAATATTAGCAGATTTATGTTTGGAGAAAGATAGTTTGGTATAGGGGGGGGAGAGAGGCTGGTTTTATATGTGAGAAAGTTTATCTCTATTTGAAAGGGGCGTTAAGTGTATATTTGGTTAGTAGTGGAATGAAATAGGAGAAAAGCACAACGTTATTGAGAGTGAATTTGTTCCTATATACAAGGTGATGAGTTCATTTTGTGTGGAGATGTGGTGGCTTGAGTGAGATGTATTGATGGGCAGAAAACGTGGGTCATTACAAAAAGTAAGAAGAAAAAAATCAAAGATACAAATAACATTGGCCCTAGTAAATAAAAATCTAAAATTTGAAAAATCTTATGCAATCTCTATATTATATGAAAAAAGTCGTAAATCGTGTTACTTATTATAGCGCTTCCCACGGTCGCGATATTACGGACGTAAGCGGACCAGCACGCACCATGCACCATGGGAAGGGTCTCGTCCGTGGTAGCAACAGGCACGTCTGTGCTGGTCCGTCCTATCCATCTAGAGTCGGTAACATCAAAGGTGCGGTACATGCTCGTGCGACGCGATCCTAGCGCGTCTGTGTTTTAACAGACGACAAGTGCAAGTCAGAAGTTTTTCATTCGCTGACACGAGTAGTTGTCTGTAGTGTTGTCAAAGTTGTTTTGTAGTTTTTTGCTAAAAAATGGAATGGGACAAACGAAGTTATTTTTGATTTTTAAAGTTGTATCAAAATGAAACAAATTTATGGAATTCTACGGCACCAGAGCATAAGAAACGGAACCGATATATACGATGTATGGAACCGAATAAAAAATCAATTGTAGAAATAGTACTATATCGATAAAGAATTAAAAAATAAGAGAAATAATTTAATGCCGAATTTAATGTTTTACAAGCCTGAGTGGCCTTTTTATGATATAATCAACAATACTGTCACGGACCTACACAGACTGTCACGGACCGTAGGAAGGAGCTCTGTCTGCGGTGCGTTCTCGTCCGTGCTGATCGGCATGTCCGCGATGATCTGTAGAATCGCCGATCGTGGGAAAGACACATTAGAAGTTTATAACCGAGGAATGGCTGTACCGATTTTAATGATACTAGTTTTTTGGATTCGTTTTAGCCCCAAGTAGCCGAATAACCATTAAAATATCATAAAAGTTCACAAAAAAAACTTAATCTTGATCTTAGAGGTATTTTTTAGGATTTGATATCACTGCAATTAATAGGGTCAATATCGAATAAATTTCAACGTAGGAAACATGGCGAAGCGGCTCCTGATCTCCGGATGTGCTCTCTCCTAATGCTCTTGGTTTTTACGTAATTGAAGACATAAGTGGATAAAGGCCATATCTCACTTTATTAAGAAAATTGTTTTATTGAATTTTTTGTTCTAATGTGCTGTTTATAAAAATTTTAAAATTACCTTAGTTTTAGCTAATTAAAAAAATAGGAAGGTATTAAAGCAATATGTCACACTAGATTTTCGAATTCTAGTATGTGGATAAAGGTATTATGTCCAAAATCGCAGACATATTACCTTTATCCACTTAAATGTTTAGTAACTCGGAAGTTATTTTTCTGACATTTAACTTTATGGGTCATGTTATGGAAATCAGTGTAACAGTGTAATTTATTTTGTGCAAACATTTTTACAGTTTTTAAGTAAAAAGCTACGAAAAAATTATGGGGAGTA